AGGGGAGGTAGAGACCTGACAGCGTGCCGGACGGGACCGCCGGACAAGGAAGGACAGTGGAGGAGGTCGCAATGACCGGACCCCCAGAGGGGTCAGCAAGGGAGACAGCAACTGGCCGAGCGAGTGGCTCAAGGACAGTGCGGTCACGAAAGAAGGAGCGAGAAGCACCTGAGTCCAGTGTGAAGGTGTGCAGTGCTGCAGTCGACTCAGTACCAGGGGGCACGGACGCACGAGCACCTAGAGCAGCGACCTCACCAGGACCTGTGGGAGTAGACGCACTAGCACCTAGAGCGGCAGCCGGACTGGCCTGAATGCTCGGGTCGGGCGGAACACGCAAGTACTGAGCACCCTCTCCACTAATAGACATCGCATACATGGCAGTGAGAATAGCATCAAAGTCTAAAGCCCAAATATCAACACCCCTCTTTTCCAGATCAGCCCAGCGCGGCAGCTCAGTGGCAGCAGGAAACTGAGTGCGCCACGCGTCGTTAAGGCGCGCGAAGCAGCGCTGCGTGGGGTGCGGCCTCCCACACTGCTGGCCGCTGCGGTCACCTGTGCGAATGACGTACGTGCAGGTAACGCTACGCTGCGCATACCACTCACGGGCGGCCTGAAGCGTCGGGGCGGGCTGCTGACTCTGCCCTCCGCCAGTGCCTCCACGACCACCACCCCCACCGCCGCCGCCCCGGCCACCTCCACCCCTGCCGCCGCCACGACCACCTCCGCCTCCGCTGCCGCCTCCACCACCACTCCCACCGCTGCTGTCTCCTCCCCCACTGCCGCCACTAGTCTCCCCAGCCGCGCCTCCACTCCCACCGCCTCCACCCCCACCTCCTCCGCCGCCACCCCCACCCCGGCCGCCCTTGTTCCTGCGGCGCCCGCTCGAAGCAGACGCGGTCCCGACCTTCTCAGCACCAAGAAGGTCGACAGCAGCAGCAGATGCGACAGAGGGGAGGAGGGGGGAAGGGGAACACCCCTCAAAGAACGGGGTGCGGGGGTCGCCACGAGAGGTGCCTACAGCGACTATGCTCGTCTCGGCTGCAAGCAGTTCCTTCTCGAGGAGGGCAACAGTGAGCTCAGTGGGGGAGCGAGAGAGGAAGTGGTCCCTGACTGCGCGCAGAGAGTCAGGGAGGCGGGTGACGATGTGGTAGAGAGTGATCCAGAGCGGGGGGGGTTGCTAGTGAGAAACTCGGCAGGCATAGCAGCGCGAAAGCGGGCCTCACTAGTCTTAAGGTGGGTGATGAGGTCTGCGACAGTGTGAAAGGAGGCTAGGTCGGGGAACAGGTAGGGGAGAGTGAGGCGGCCTAGCGTGGCAGAGGCGGGTGAGGAGTAGCGGGCAACTACAGCGGTGTAGAGGTCCTTAGCAGTCTTGCACTGGCCGAAGTGCTCGCGCTCGTCTAGTGGCAGGGAGTTGCGAATAGCAAAGCGAGCGTGCGCATCACGGGTCTGCCACTGGGAACGCAGAGTGCTGTCAGCAGTCGAGTCAGGGGCAGTGGCATGGCCTAGGGCGTGGTCGTACAGTGAGATATCTTCCTTGGCAGTGAGCTGTAGGAACAGGTGCAGGTCATCGAGCCAGGTTTCGAACTTCACTGGACGGCCCTCGGCATCGAAAGCTAGAACTGGCGGACTAGCCATAGTGACAGTAGCAGTAGGAATCAGGCCGCTGGAAAGGTGTGGGCAGTGTCAACGGGGCCGGCAGCAGCGGCAAACAAGTGGTAGCGTACGGGCGGCAGCAGCAGTGGCGCACGGGCGGCAGCAGCAATGGCGCACGGGCGGCAGCGGCTTTGGCGCACGGGCAGTAGCGGCAGTGCAACGCGGTAATGGCGGCCGCAGTAGCAGCACACGGGCGGCAGCGGCGGTAGCGCACGGGCGGCAGCTGCAGCGGGCGGCGGGAGTAGCGGTAGCGAGCGCACGGGCGGGAGCTGCAGCGGCGGCGGCAGCGGCAGTAACGCACGTGCAGCAGCGGCAGCGGCGCACGGGCGGCAGTGGCGGCGGCACAGCAGCGGCAGCGACAGTGGGCGGTGCGCAAGCAGCAGCGGCAGCAGCGTACGACAGCGGCAGCGGCAGTGGCGTACGGGCGGCTGCGGGTGACGGGCGGGCGACAGCTGCGGCAGCGAGCTGCGGGCCTGCGGGGTCACGGCGGGGCGCGCGCGAGCAGCAGGGGCCGCGCGAAGGGCTGACGGGCCGCGTGCGGGCGACTAGCGGGCCACGCGCGCAACTAGCGGGCCGCGCGCGCAAGAAACAGAGCCGCGCGCGCGAAAAAAAAAAGGACCCGCGCGCGGGTAGCTAGCGGGTCGCGCGCGCGTGGTGGGGAAAGGCGCACGAGGGCGCGAGGCCTTAAGGGGCCGTAAGAACCGAGGCGCTCTAAGGCGCAGGTAGGTAGGTAGGTAGGTAGCGGTGGGCCCTAAGAACGGTCCTAGCGAAGGACCTGCTCTGAAACCATGTCAGAATGAACAGACTGGAATGATTGAACTAACAGAGAAATCAGTACAAAATGGCAAACCCTAGAATTGTGTACCCCATATAGGCTAACCCACTGTAGCCTAACAAACGCAACATATATAATGTTTGACACGGTGCCATCACTGGCTGCGCCTGAGCGCTGTCCCACGCTGTCGTTTTGTGTCGGTGTGCCTGATGAAATGATGATCGGCTCCTCCGATTGTGCAGGTGCATTTGCAGGTGCGTGTGGAGGTGCTGGAGCATTTACCGTGGACTGCTGTCGAGCGGAGTCGCGTTCCGCCGTGAGCGTCGCAATCTCGAGTTGGCGCACCAGACGGTCAAGCTGCTCCTGCGTCAGCGTCGCGAGAGTGAATTCGGCCATGGCGGGGGTGTCGGGCAAGCTCAGCGAGAGCCTCTGTCGTGGCCGTGCGTGCTTACGAGAGAGCACTACGAGCGGCGGTGCTTGTGTTGCTGAGAGACGTGTACCCAAAAAAAAAATGAGATGGTGGGGAAGCGAAGGTGTGGATGCGGTCCGAGAAGAGATCGTAGGCTCTGAATACCAAGTGTTACGGGTGCAATTGAGTGAACAAGCGAGAATTGCACTATCGAAGCAAGAGTACAATGGGCGAAGGCATGAGCGAAGAATTTATAACGAAACTACAGTGGTAACGGTAATGTGTGGAAATTGGGGTGCGCGACGGGCCTAGCGCCGAGGGTGGGAAATGCCGAGGCGGAGGTCCGGAGCGCGGGTTACCAACCGAGCCGTGAGGTTGGGTCGCGGCGTGAACAGTGGCGGGAACAGTGTCGAGGCGAGTGTCGCGAGTGGTAACGGTGTACTGTTGGGTGCTGGTGGCGGGAACAGAGGTGTACGCGCTGAGAAGGGTCGCGGAGTAAGGAAAAGGAAATTTCCTTACAAAAATCTACCATCACCTTTGCCTCGTGGGACGAGCGCCGTTTTGGCGGCGATTCTGCTTTTTTACTCGCCCTTCGCTTTGGGCTTTTTGTTTGAGGCAAGGGTTGCTCCTCCAACTTTGCAGCATCGTTCCTCGGAAACCTCATCTAAGCGCTTGCTGACGCGTGTGAATCGACAACCGTTTTGGGTGAGGTCCCGAAAGTCTATCAGCAGATATCAACCGTCGATGAAACTCGTGATGACATCCCATCAACGATCTGTGGACTCCGATTGTTGTCATGATCGCATCGTCATCTCATTGCCACGCTGGCAAGCGGAATCAGGCTGAGGTTAGTTTCATGGTCGATTCCGGCGGCTTACGATTTCTGCGCAAGGCGGGAGGCGGAGCGGCGAATGAGGGAGGTGAGATTCCCTGTGCTGGGCGGATCAACTGTTTTCTCGATTCCTGCCAGCTCCGCCGATGCGGATCGAAGAGGTTGCGGTTGAGGTTGCTCCGTCGCCAGCACCACCCACCCGCTCTCTCACCAACCACCCTCGCCTTCACCCTCATGGCATTTCTTGCAGCATCAGCACGAGTCACGACTCACGACACGACTTCACAACTCACATCACACCAGCAGCTACAACATCAGCCACGCTCAAGCACCCGCTCATGGTCGTCCCCCACTCGTACCTCGCTTCGCTCTTGTCGGTCCAAGTAGCCGCTCTTGCCTGCCTTTCAGCTCTGCGTCAGCATTGTCAAATCCACACAACCTGTCGGTTCATTCGAGTCGGTGTGTTCTGGAAGATGGAAATGATGTGACACTAAAGTATTCAGCCAATCAGAGCTCGCTTCTGCTCTTGCGCATATACCCTGTAGGGACTTGTTACGTTCGTCTAACTCGCATCGCGATTAGCTCATCACCGTCGACCCACAGCCGCCATGATCGTCACGAAGCCGGTGGACGTGCCGGGCCCGGCGCGGCGGCAGGCTGGCGTCGCGCGCGGGGCTGCCGTGAGCTACGCGTCGGCGCTGCTGCACCGCTCGTCCTGCCACACCGGTGTAGCTGCCGCGCCAAAGGCCGCCGAACCACACCCACCCTCGCATGTCGACGCGCTTAGGCCGCAGCCACAGAAGAAGCTCGAACGGCATATGCCGACGCAGCAGCAGCAGCAGCCGCAGGCGGTTCTGCAGTGGCCCGCGCTGGGCCGACAGTCGCAGGAGCCGTCACAAGCCCAGGCAGCAGCGCAAGCGACAGTACAGGCTGTGCGACAGGCAAACCCGCAGGAAGGGTCGCAGGCAATAGGCCCGCAACCAGATAAGAAGCAGCAAGGGAAGGCGTGGGGGCGCAGCGCTCTCAGGCCGGAAGCGCAGGAGAAAGGGTTGGAACCGCAGCCGCAGCCGCAGCTGCATCAACAGAAACAGCAACAGCCGCCGCAGCGACAGTCGCAGCAGTCGCAGCCAAAGCTTAAACCCGAGTCGCAGCCGTCGCAGCGAGGAGCCGAGCAGGCGAGCGACCACGAGTTCGACTTCGACGACGTGTTCGGTCCGTCGCCCGCCTCTTCCGGGCGGCTTTCGTCGTCCAGCAGCCTCGACTCGTCGCACGACGCGTCGTCCGGCCGCCTGGCGACGGCGAGCGGTCGCAATCTGCGCACGGTGGCGGAGATGGACGAGGACGACGTGGCGAGCTGGATGGCCGACGAGCAGCTCGCGGATCGCGCGGCGGGCGAGGAGCCGCCGGAGGTGATCACGCACCGCTCGCACTCGCTCGTGGGTCCCGCCGCCATCACGCCGCGGCAGAGCGTCGCGCGATCCAGCAGCCGCCGCTCGTCGCTGGACGAACCCGACAGCGCGCGACCGTCGCTGATGGGAACGTCGCCGTGCGTGCGGTCGATGGAATCGCCGAGGAAGGCCGTCGCACGTGCGATGCTAGATGCTGGGATGGCGGCGGATGGGAGAGAGGGGGCAGCGGCAGCCACGGCCGTGGCAGGAGCAGCAGCGGAGGGCGGTAGGGACAGTGATGCGAATGGCGCGATAGAGGCGAGGGAGGAGGGGGATGCGGCAGAGGCGAGGGGCGCGTTAGATGCGGTGGAGAAGGACAAGGTGGGGCCGGAAGACTTCGAGCTGCTGCGCGTGGTGGGGCAGGGCGCCTTCGGCAAGGTCTTTCAGGTGCGCCGTGACGGGCGATCGCGCCGTTGAGGCTACTGTGTCCCCCCGTGGACCCTAATCCCACCCTCGTCCTCCACCTACGACATATTTCCCTGAAGTAGTTTGGCACGTCGCAAGGCGGCGCTCGCGTCGCGATCCTAACACGACCCTGACAACCCTTTCGTAAACCCTTCTCCCACCCTCCCCCCTCGACGATCGGCGCGAGCAGGTGCAGCACCGATGGACGGGCGAGATATTCGCGATGAAGGTGATGAAGAAGCAGCGCATCCTGGAGCGCAACCAGGGCGACTACATGCGCGCGGAGCGCGACATCCTCACCAAGGTCGTGCACCCCTTCGTCGTGCAGCTGCAGTACTCCTTCCAGGTATGCCCTTCGTCGTGCAGCTGCAGTACTCCTTCCAGGTATGCCCTTCGTCGTGCAGCTGCAGTACTCCTTCCAGGTATGCCCTTCGTCGTGCAGCTGCAGTACTCCTTCCAGGTATGCCCTTCGTCGTGCAGCTGCAGTACTCCCTCCAGGTATGCCCTTCGTCGTGCAGCTGCAGTACTCCTTCCAGGTATGCCCTTCGTCGTGCAGCTGCAGTACTCCTTCCAGGTATGCCCTTCGTCGTGCAGCTGCAGTACTCCTTCCAGGTATGCCCTTCGTCGTGCAGCTGCAGTACTCCTTCCAGGTATGCCCCGCCCTCGCCTCGCCCTCCCCTTCACAAGCCGCCCTCTCCTTGAGGCTCACCCCTCGTAGAACCGCCCCTGCGCCGCCCTCGCCACCTCGTTGCTAGCAACGGCCCCTCACTCATCTCGCTCGCCACAGCCCTCGTATACTTCGAACCCCAAACTCTCTATAACTTATTGTGCGCTGCAGCCACGCGTCGCCAGTGTGCGTGATGCGATTTTCTTCTCCCTACCCCATCCCTTCACCTCTCGTCTGTGCGCCCTCCTCGAACCGTGCAGACGAGCGCGAAGCTGTATCTGATTCTCGACTTCATCAACGGCGGCCATCTCTTCTTCCAGCTCTACCGCCACGGCACCTTCAGGTACCGCCACTTGGTCAGCAGCAACTATCACTCTTGGCTTCACTGGCCGCTTGAACGCCACATCAATTTGCATCCTACCAAAGTCCACGTGCGCCTAGCCCTCACCAACCCCTCCCCTTCCCTGCGCCCCCTTCCCCGCACTCCCTTCCACCTTCCCCTCCCCCACTTGCCGTGCACGTGGCAGTGAGGACTTGGCGCGCATCTACACGGCGGAGCTGGTGCTGGCGGTGGGGCACCTGCACTCGCGCGGCATCATGCACCGCGACCTCAAGCCAGAGAACATCCTGCTCGACTCCGACGGCCATGTCAGTCCCTCTCTACTGCTGCTCGCCACATGCGCGGCCATTATCGCACGGAGGGAGTGTGGGAGAGTGCCCCCCTGTGTGATCTCCCTTCTCTGATTGCCTCGCAAGCGCCTCACAAGGCATGCCGGCGCACCACCCATGTGATTCGCCTATACGTCTTCCACCACCCATGTGATTCGCCTATACGTCTTCCACCACCCATGTGTACGCCTACACGTCTTCAACCACCCATGTGATTCGCCTATACGTCTTCCACCACCCATGTGATTCGCCTATACGTCTTCCACCACCCATGTGATTCGCCTATACGTCTTCAACCACCCATGTGATTCGCCTATACGTCTTCCACCACCCATGTGATTCGCCTATACGTCTTTCACCACCTCTCTCACCCCCTCACTCCCCTCGCTCCTCTTGCTCCTCTTGCCATTTTTCTTATCTGCCACTCTGCCTTGCCGTCTCTTCTCAACCCCCACTTCCCGCAGATCAAGCTGACGGACTTTGGGCTGGCGAAGGAGGTGAGGGGTGGCGATGAGCGCAGCAACTCGCTGTGCGGCACGGTGGAGTACATGGCGCCTGAGATCATCCAGGCCCACGGCCATGGCTTCCCCGCTGACTGGTGGAGCATCGGCGTGCTGCTCTTCGAAATGCTCACCGGGCAGGTGAGATGCTCACCGGGCAGGTGAGATGCTCACCGGGCAGGTGAGATGCTCACCGGGCAGGTGAGATGCTCACCGGGCATGTGAGATGCTCACCGGGCATGTGAGATGCTCACCGGGCAGGTGAGATGCTCACCGGGCAGGTGAGATGCTCACCGGGCAGGTGAGATGCTCACCGGGCAGGTGAGATGCTCACCGGGCAGGTGAGATGCTCACCGGGCAGGTGAGATGCTCACCGGGCAGGTGAGATGCTCACCGGGCAGGTGAGATGCTCACCGGGCAGGTGAGATGCTCACCGGGCAGGTGAGATGCTCACCGGGCAGGTGAGATGCTCACCGGGCAGGTGAGATGCTCACCGGGCAGGTGAGATGCTCACCGGGCAGGTGAGATGCTCACCGGGCAGGTGAGATGCTCACCGGGCAGGTGAGATGCTCACCGGGCAGGTGAGATGCTCACCGGGCAGGTGAGATGCTCACCGGGCAGGTGAGATGCTCACCGGGCAGGTGAGATGCTCACCGGGCAGGTGAGATGCTCACCGGGCAGGTGAGATGCTCACCGGGCAGGTGAGATGCTCACCGGGCAGGTGAGATGCTCACCGGGCAGGTGAGATGCTCACCGGGCAGGTGAGATGCTCACCGGGCAGGTGAGATGCTCACCGGGCAGGTGAGATGCTCTCCGGGCAGGTGAGGTGCTGGAAAGATGCTTTGTGGGCTTTTTGGATCCCTCCACTCCACCTTGCCACACTCCAGCACATTCTTCTAGCTGTATCCATCCCCCTCCCCATGTGCCCCACGGTCTCCTCCCCTGGGCATTCAATCTCAAATGTGCCCCTCTGTGCGTTGGCCCTCTCGCCCCCGTGCGCCCCGCAGCCGCCGTTTTCAGGTGGCAACAGGCAGAAGCTGCAGCAGCGCATCGTGAAGGAGAAGGTGAAGCTGCCGCAGTACCTCACCAGCGAGGCACACTCGCTGCTCCGCGGGGTGAGCACAGGAATTGGTTGCTCCAGTGCTCTGAGAGCGAGGAGGGGTGGGACAAGGAGGTTGGTGGGATGAGACGCGGTTTGGATGAAAGGGTTAGTGCTGAGAGGAAAGGATGGAGAGGGCAGATAGGAGAAGTTAGGGGTGCGAGGTGGCAGGCTAGCAACGCTCCTTGCACTGCGCCTCGCTTTGTTTTTTTTCCTGTAAAATAACGCTGTTCTGCACTCGGTGTGCTGCCTGGAAGTACACCCCTCGACCCATCTTGATTCCCTGCCATGCCTCACCCCGTCCTCCCTGCCCTTACCAGTTGTTGCAGAAGGACCCGGCGAAGCGGCTGGGCAGTGGGCCGCGGGGGGTGGAGGAGATCCGCGCGCACAAGTGGTTCCGCGGCGTGCACTGGCGGCGCCTGGAGGCGCGCGAGGTGGTGCCGCTGTTCCGCCCCACGGTGACGGGTGGCAAGCGCTGCACCGCCAACTTTGACGAGATGTGGACGCAGATGCCCGTGCACGACTCGCCCGCCGGCACGCCCACCATGCACGGCGCCGACGCCTTCTTCCGCAACTACACCTTCACCGCCGCCCCGCCCGCCCTCTCCACCGTCGACAGCGACAGCGACGGCGAGGTGGGCAGTGGCGAGTCGGAGGAAAGCGAGGAGGGTGAGGAGGAGGGAGAGGGAGGCGAGGGGGAGGAGCAGGTGGTGGAGGGGCAGTGAAGCTCAGAAGTGGTGGAGGGGCAGTGAAGCATTCAGTGCAAATGCGAGGAACATGCACTAAGCCGCGGACCATCACCCTGAATCGTCATCGTTACCGTATCGCCAGTGCACATACAGCACCTCTGCCCTTTTCATCTTGCCATACAGCTGCACTCTACCACCTAAAGTGGTTGCAGGATGCAGTTGCATTTTTGCTGAGCAATGAACCCTACTGCATGTTTTACTGTATGGCCCCGGATATAAGTGTCAAACTACCGATGCTTGTGCTTTGTAGGCTGTAGTGGGGTAGCCCATAAGGGGTACAACCCAAATTAGGGTTAGCATTTGTACCCATTTCTCTCATCAATGTTAGATGGAACCCTAATGGGGTTGTACCCCATATTGGCTACCCCACTACAGCCTATACAAGTATAACATGCATATATGTTTGACACACCCCCATAGACAAAGTGGGGGAGAGCAAGGGGTCATAAGACCAGTCAAGAAAGGCAAAACAAGCTCAAGGTGGATCACAACGTCACCACACGCACTGAGCACAAGCAAAGGGCCACAAGGCCAGTTCGCATGCAGAGGTATATATGCAACAATAGCATCACAGTGATCACTACCTAGCAAAAGCAAGCATGCAGGTATATATATATATATATATCACAGTACAAGCAGAGAGTACAGCAAGTGCGGGAACGTAGGCACAAGGCCTAACAAAGTACAGAAGCGCTGATGATCACCAGACGGAAGTGCCTTGGTGAATATATCAGCAGTGTTGGCCCGAGTGGCCACGTGAGCAAGACGAAGCTGACCTCGCTGCTGCAACTCCCGAGCCAGAAAGAAACGCAGAGCGATGTGTTTCGTTCTGTGCTCCAGTCTGTGCTCCTGACACAAGGCAATGGCGGCCTTGTTGTCGACGTACAGAACTGGAGGAGAACGAGGCCTCTCTCCCAAGTTAGTCAGCAGGTAGGTGAGCCAGCGTAACTCCTGTACAGCCATGGCTCTTGCGTAGATCTCAGCCTCACAACTGGAGCTGAGAACAGAAGACGAGTGCGTGGACCGCCAAGAAACAGAGCCAGAGCCAAGGCTGAAGGTGTAACCCTGTAACGACCGCTGCGTAGCCTGGTCGTCAACCCAAGACGCGTCAGAGTGTCCAGTGAGGACAACGTCACTCCGTCCTCCAAGCACGAGCCCCATGCACGATGTACTGCACAAGTAGCGCAGTACCCTCTTTGCAGCATCCATGTGCACCTTTCGGTGCCGACCAGGAGCCACGTAGCGAGCCAAAAGGCCAAGAGGGTACGCAAGGTCAGGCCGAGTGCAGGTCATCAGGTACATGAGGCAGCCCACTAGCTCTGCGTAAGGACCACTCGACTCTACGGACTCGTCCGAAGGTGGAGCTGAGAGCGAGTGACCTGTAGCCAGCGGAGTGGGCTGTGGGGAGGACCAGGTAAAGCCGAAGAGCTGAAGGACCTGCTGCACCATGTGTGACTGAGTCAGTGTGATGGTGCGGCGTGCTCTGTCCCGGGTGATCCGCAAGCCAAGGTAGCTGCGCAGCTCACCCATGTCTGTGCACGTGTGTCTCTTCTGCAGCTCCGACTTCACCAGAGCAAGAGCCTCAGTGTCAACAGTGGCAAAGACCAAGTCGTCGACGCACACGAGGATGTAGAACGGCGGCAAAGAAGTGTCGGTGCGTAGAAACAGTGACGGGTCAGCAATCGAAGGAGCGAATCCAAGAGCCGCAAGTGTAGTCCTCAGTGTGTCGTGCCACTCACGAGGAGCCTGGCGGAGACCGTAGACTGGCCGCCGGAGGCTCCACTGGGTACCAGGAGGGAACGACCCAGTGAAGCCAGGTGGGAGGCATAGCCAGATCTCCTCGTGCAGGCTGCCCTGTAAGAAGGCTGTGCTGAAGTCAAGAGAGTGAAGCTCGTAGTCACGCTGAGCGGCAACGTGCAGCAGCACCCGAAGAGTGGTCATCTTCGGGGTAGGGGAGAAGGTCTGGAAGAAGTCAACTCCCTCACGCTGACTGAAGCCTCTAGCAACGTAACGAGCCTTGAAGACAGGCGGAGAACCCGGCGGCCGCTTCACCCTGAAAATCCACATGCCATCGACGATGTTCGCCCCAGGAGGGGGAACCTCATCGACGTAAGTGCCTGTGGACTTCCATGATGCCATCTCTGCGTCCATGGCTGTCTGCCACTGAGAGGAGTACTCACCCGCGATCGCCTCAGCGTAAGAGCGCGGGGTCGGGATGTCTGGTGCATCCGGGTCTCCCTCAGGGGCAAGCAGCATGGCCACGAGATGAGGCGCAGCGGCTGCAAGGCACTCAAGGTCCTCGTGCCTGTCCTCAAGGACGTCCGTGCCAAGAGCACACCCACCCCCGACGTACGGAGGACAGACAGACTCAGACTCAGCAACAAGACTAGCGGCGTAGTCTAGACGACAGGCAGCAGCAAAGTCAACAAGCTCAGCGACCAAGGCAGACGCAGCAGCAGACTCAAAAGACGGGTCAATGACAACTGTGGCTAGCAAACTCGTGACAGTAGGGTGTGCAGCACGAAACCGGTCAGACTCAAGGTCCGGAACGTCAGGTAGAGAGGACGCAGGGGGAGATGGCCTGGGAACACGCTGCGGGGCAGAGGGAGGATGAAGGGCGACGAGGTGCGCGCCGGGGACAACCGGCGGACGCTGACGAGGAACACGACGACCAGTACGACCAGGACGAACAGGCGAGACAGGACGCGACGCAGGCTCATGACGCTCAGCAAGACCCCTTGGCTGCCCAGTGTAAGGAGAAGGAGCAGGCAGCGGTGAGCCAGGCAGTAACGGAAGACCAGTAGAAAACGGGAGGCTAAGAACCTGGCGAGGCACAGAGTCAGGAGGTGGCAGAGACGACGAAGACGGCGGAGCGAAGAACAGTCGCGTCGGTGCAGTGCCACCAGCACCAGTAGCTCCAGCACCTCCAGCAGCTCCAGCACCCCCAGCGCCAGTACCTCCAGGACCAGCGCCACCAGTAGCAGCAACAAGTACCGCATCGACGACACCGTCGAGCGCGAGAAGGCGAGGCTGGTCGTGAAGGGCTTCACGCAGTTGTACGGTGCCGACTACGACGATACGTACTCGACGGTGAGCAGCTACATCACGCTGAGGATCTTCCTCACCATCATCGCCGTCCTCGACCTGAACCTGATGCAGCTCGACATGAAGAACGCCTTCCTGCAGAGCAAGCTCGACAGGGTGCTCTACATGTACCAGCCGGACTACTTCGACGATGGGACCGGCCGGGTGTGTAAGCTGCTGAAGAGCCTCTACGGGCTGAAGCAGTCGCCGCTGCTGTGGTACAGGGCTCTCGACGGAGTGCTGCAGGGGGCTGGCTTGAAGAAGAGCCAGGTCAACGAAGCGCTCTACTTCATGTCCGGCGTCGACGGAGAGACCTGCTGGGTGCTGGTCTACGTCGACGACCTGCTCGCCGCCAGCAGCTGCCTCGCCTACCTCGCCGACACCCGCGACACCGCCTTGGAGTTCGGCGGTGGACCAGAGTCGCTGGAGCTGATCGGCTACGTGGATGCAGATGACGCGGACGACAAGCAGAATCGGACGAGCACGGGCGGCTACGTGTTCGTCTACGGATGCCACTGTCTCCTGGTCGAGCTCGCGCATCAAGTGTGCGACGCTCTCCTCGACCGAGTCGGAGTACGTCGCGGCCACGGATGCTGGCAAGGAGGGACGCCGACTTCGTTTCCTCCTTGCGGAATTCAAGCTGCTCGACGCTGGGAAGCCGACCATCCTCCGCGTCGACAACAAGTCGGCAATCACGGTCGCTGAAGGCTTGGGGCTGACGGGCAACCTCAAGCACATGGAGCGATGCTACGCCTGGCTGCAGCAAATGGTGAGGCGCGTGAAGTTTGTGCTGAAGTACACCCTGACCACCGAGCAGCCGGCAGACTTCATGACGAAGGCGCTGCATTTTCTGGCTTTCAACCGGTGCTCCATCGCGATCGGCCAAGTACGCCTGGCCAACGTCGGCGACGGAGATGACGATGTGCAGCAGTAGGTGCCGTGCCCTTCTGCACGGCTGGTGCGGTGACGGCGTGCTGTGTGTGGGGTGCACGCCGAGGACGAGTATTCTTCGTGGAGTACTACCGTGTTGGCTGGAGGCCCAAGCGTGGGCGCGGCAGGGGAGTGTTGATGGGAATGGAGTGTTGGCCCCGCCCTCGCTTGGGCAACGCCGACGACTTGGTCGGATGTACGGGAGTAGCAGCCGACCGTTCACAGTGGTTGAGTTGTTCAACAGGCTACGTCGAGCTGCAGGGGACCGCTGTGGTGTTGCTGTCGACTAGGGAGCTCGACAGCTGCAACTGACTGGCCTGGACGGCGGGTGGGCCGTCCGGGAGGTCGACGGAGCAGTCCGTCGACCTGCAGTTCGACCAGAGGGTCAATAGAGCAGTCCGTCGACCTACAGTTCGACGGGGAGGTCAGCGGAGCAGTCTGTCGACCTGACAAGTGAGCAGCGATCAACGAGGGGAGCTCGGCGACAACCGCTGACTGTTCTGGTCGACGGAAGGGGGTCCGTCGACCAGGGACATGCTCGACGGGAGCTACGGTCGACCAGAGTACTTGGTGCTCGACCGGAGGCACCTGGCGGTCGACCAGAAGTACCTGGTGGTCGACCGAGGGACCTGGCGGTCGACCGGAGGCACCTGGTGGTCGACCGGGAGCATCTGGTGGTGTCCAGGTCGACCAGGTAACCTGCTCGACGAGTTCTGCGGAGGCACGCGAACGTCGTCGAGGTCGCGATGGCGAAGGCGACTTCGGGCTGGTATCCCGAAGTCGATGTGGCTCGTCAGGCGCAGACAACAGCCGACGGATGCCCAACGAGGCAAGTCGGGCCAATCGTCTGCGCGCACCTGCGAGCGTGCGCACTGCTGTCTTCTACGGGGCAACGCTGGACAGCCGCACAGCTGCAGTGTTGGCACGCCGCTCTCCTGCAGTGCTGGCGTGGCTCCTCTACG